AGTGTCCGGGGACAGCCACGTGCTGTTGACACAGGTGGGGACGTGGTTTGCAGCTGGCGCCGCGGGCAAACACACCTGCCCCGGCACCGAGAGCCGCCGGGCTGCCGCTTTGGCATCCCTGGACGTACGCGCCGGCCGCAGCGGCTAAAGTCTGAAGTCTCTGCTCAGATCGAGCCGTGATCTGCACCCGCTCCCCGTCACCTGCTCCTCTCTGCGCACCTCGCGTCGCCCGAAATCCCCTTGCCTGGTGCTGCCCCGTGGAAAAGACGAGAGGGTGGGGATGCTCGGCGCGGGTGCTGGAGGGGGCTGGGGTTTGCACCCCGGCGAGGCGCGGCGTTGCGTGCCCTGTCCTGCCAGGACAGCTTCGCACCCTTCTCCGTCTGCGGCCGAGCGTGTTGCAGCGATGCCCAGCTCTCGGGTGCTGCTTTGGGCTTTCGCGAGGGAATCGACACCACGGCCTGGGGGGGACCGAGCCCCCAGGGGTGCCAGACGGCATCCAAAGCTGCATGGCCTCAGTCCTCAAAGGTGCCTCGTCTTCTGTTTCAGACCTTCATCTTCACGGATGGGGAGGATGAGGAGCTGAAGAAGCAAGCACGTGAGTCTGTGGCCCTTGTTCCTTTGCGTGACCTGGTCCCTAAAGAAGCCCCCCCACCTGGGGAGCATGGCTGGCGTGGAGCCTGCCCCAGGGAGCTCTGAAAGAAATGTCAAAATGCCGCCGGTCAGGCACGAACCTCGGGAGCTCTCGCCATAGGGACTTGGGCTGAGAACCGGGCAACTTGTTTCACTGATGGTGCCTAAAGCACCCTCAGCCCTGGAGCCCCAGCTGGGGATGGGTGTCCTTCACAGTCAGCCCAGCCCATCTCCTGCAAGGAGCTCCGGGGAGCATGCTAACAGGGTCCCTTTGCACCAGTTTGTCCCTGGGGCAAGCTGGGATTGATGGGCAACGAGGCCAGGGTTTCCTGGGAGCATTTCCAAGGCAGCCGCTCCCTGGGGCCAGGGTCAGCTCGCTCTATTCTCCCCATGCAAATATCTCCTTTTCAGGCCGGGAAGCGATTGCCTTTGAGCTGAGCGAGCAAAGAACAGGTGGCTGCTGCGGGAAAAGGCAGCGGGAATAGGGCAGGGTTTTGGCTGTCATGTTCTGGGAGGAGAAGCTGGCTCTGGGACACCCCCTCGCTCCCGGGGTGGCCGGTACATGGCCCCGGGATGGCCAAGGTGATGTAGGGTGGCATTGTGCATGGCACACGGGGTACGGCTCAACCCTGGGGCATCTGCTGCATCCGCATCCCTTGCTTATCCCTTCCCGTGTCTCGCCTGGATCCAAAAGCCATGCCCCAAGAAATTCATTCTTTGCCCAAAATAATGTGGCACGGAGGCCACTGAGCATCAGGGACATCCATGGGGTTTCCACCCCCCTGGTGCCCCTGGACTGTGCGCGGTGAAGCATCGCTGTTGGAGCAAGCGGGGAGGTGTGGGGTACCCCAGCACCGGGCTTTGACCCCCACCTCTTCCCACAGGAAACGTCATCAACACCAACTGCTCGGCTGCCCACAGCCGCCAGGCCCTGTCCTGCAAGATGGCCGTGGAGGACGCCAAGT